GTACTATAGTCCATTTTGTCTTCCCAACATCTGCAAGCACAATTCTCCCCATATTTACACATTTAAAATGCATCTTTCTGACATGGTACTACTATCCCTCTTCCAGTTTTAAGTCCAGGGCCTCAGTGTGATGTCCTCTGATTCTGTAATAATCTCATCTCAACAGTTTGCAACTCATAGACTAAATTGTGACCTAACCACCACCACCACATATTAACAGTATAATAAGATAGGAAAGAAGCTGAGTATGGTGCCTTATGCCTGCAATCCCAGCACTTTGGGAGGCTGAGGTGAGAGGATCGCTTGAGCTAGAAATTCAAGATCAGCCTGGGCAACATAGCAGGACCCCATCTCTAGAAAATAATTTAACCGAGCCCTGGCATGCTCCTATAGTCCCAGCTACTTGGAAGGCTGAGGTGGGAGGATCACTTGAATCCAGGAGTTCAAGGCTGCAATGAGCCACTGAACTACAGCCTGGGTGACAGGGGGAACCCCAACTCAAATATGTGTAATACATAAGAAATAGAAAATTACATAAACATGCATGAGCCAGTGAAGAAGAAAATAAAATAGAGCAGTACTTTGCAAGTATCCTTGGCGAGAATTACCTGGACTACTTTTAAAAATACACATTTCAGGACTCTATTACAGACCAACTGAATCAGAATTTTCAGGATAGTGTAAAGGCAGCGTCATGTTTTATGTCCCGGGCTTCTCTAATAACACATCACAAATACAGTTCTCAGTTCTGTCACTGGTCTTGAATATGGATGGTTATGACTTACCACCACTGCCACCTATTTTCTGTTTTCTTTGTGTTAAACCAGCACCTCTGCTGATCAGATTTATTTATCCAGTGGATGACAAGGGATCTGAGGTGTGGGTGGTCTTGCCTATATATAGTTATAATAGTCTTATATGTAACTTTTACCATTAAGCATGGTATTTTTTAAAATAAAATATTAAAACATGGTATTGTGAGGAGGTATTACAGGAGATCTCTGACTTCTGGTCATTCTCTTCTCCCTACACTCTCTTCTCCATGGTCATCAGGGCCAATCATTCCAGCTAGCACCATCACCACTTTCTCTAACCTTAACTAGAGAAATGAGGTCAAAATGGCCAGGTGGCAAGTCCAGCTAGACACACAAATTGCTAATACCAACAGAGCCTGGACACATAGAGACAGCCAGCAAGAGCATTGAAGATCTTATCCTACTTACAAGATTACAGGCTAGGTTGCTGCAGTTTCATGGATGCTGACAGGATACTCCTGGGTAAAAGATAAAACAGCTTTATACAGCAAAATAGAAGCCAGAGTGTCAACATATTTACATCAGTTCCTGTAGCCCAGTTCCCACACTGTGATGCAGAGGGCCAGATGACACCTGTGCACATGGGGGGTTGCATTACAGGAAAAGAATTCAGGTTCAAGAATCAAGCAGTTTTTGAGCAAACAACAAAATGAGCTAGTCATTTTCCCCCAGGGAGCAGCAGTTAAATGGTCGGAATGCTGTGATTGCCTTGACCTACTTAGGTGCCTATATGACTAGCTACAGAAACTGCTCAGTATCAGGAGATGGATAAAACTTGCAGTCTGGTAAGTCTGCAATTACTAAATGCACTCAGTAATATACAGGCATGTTCAGGGGCCATGACAGCTTGTCTCTTTTCTCCCACAATGGAAAACAAAATATATTTGTATCAGTGTATCAGATGCAATAGTAAAATGTTAGCTCCTTTTCTACTCTGATCTCTGTTACTCTGTCAACAGAAAAGGTATCACCAAATACTGTTAATTCATTTGGAACATATGACAAATCCTTTACGGCAGTATCCCAAAGTGTATTTTCTCACCTGGTTCCAACACAACCTTCAATAAGGCTGCCCATCATTCCATAAAACCAGTCGCTCTTGGATGATGGAATACGTAAGACTGAATCCTTCAGTCTTTAGTCCCCTGCTTTACATCTTTCACAGCAGAATGAGTTCTTTGGTCCAGAAGCAATGTTGTATAGGATACTGTATTAAATGCATGGAGTAGTGTGTAAAGGTATTCAATGAGTCCACAGAGGGAGTGTATAATAAGCATGAATCAGGGAAAGGAATCTAAATGCAGAGTAATTGTCTGTTCCTATAAGAAGAAATTGCTACCTCCTTCATAATAGTAGGATTTCGCTGTAATCACACCTGCCACCCAGGCCACAAAAAAGCATATCAGGGGATCAAGTTGGTCACTGCAGTTGGCAAATAGTGGTAGTAACCAATCAATCATGACAGAAGAAAGATGATGTTAAAAGTACATGTATGTCTCCATTCTTGCCACCATGGCTACCTTTTTACTGAGTCCACAGCTGTTGGGGGGACAGGGAAGGAGGCTGAGTCATGTCCATAGAATGGGTCACTGTTGCAGCCCTTGTGTAATCCCCTTTTGAGGGTGGGCTGGACCTAATGATAGGATACAGTAGAAGTGGCGGGATGGCACTCTCGAGATTACAGAAGGTCAGTGCTTCCATCTTCATGGTCTTCCTTGCTCTTTGGTTCATTTGTCCTATGGAAAGCCAGCTGCCATGTTGCAAGATAGCCTTTAGAGAAGCCCACTTAACAAATAACTGAGAAAGTTTCCAGTCCAAAGTCCACAAGGAACCAAATCTTGCCAATAATCATGTGAATGAGCTTGGAAGCAGATCTTCCCTTAGTTGTGCATTTATATGAGACTGGGACTCCAGCCAACAGCTTGGCTGCAACCTCATTTAAGACCCAGAAACAACTGTCACTCTGGCTTCTAGATTCGTGGCCCACAAAAACTGTGAAAGAGTAACAGTTTATCATTTTAAGCCAATAAATTTGGGATAATTTGTGAGGCGGCAATAGATAACTAATAATAACCTTGTTCTGATTAAGAGCACTTCTGCAATGGGAGCCTTTTCTTTTTAACATTCAATAGGACCCAAATGTTTTTATGTTTTGAGGCTACTTTGAGAGGTTCTATTCCAAAGACCTATTCCAGAACTTTTATATTCCTAGTTCCTAGCCACTTGACAAACCAGCCACTGCCTATGAAATGATATCAATTTTTATCTCAAGCCATATCTCTTTTTAGGCAAAGCATACAAGATAAGCTAAATTCTGGCCAGGCGCAGTGGCTCACATCATCTGTAATCCCAGCACTTTGGGAGGCCAAGATGGGTGGATCCCTTGAGGCCAGGAGTTCAAAACTAGCCTGGCCAACATGGCAAACCCTGTGTCTAAAAACAGAAAAATCAGCCAGGCGTATTGGCGTGTGCCTGTCAAAAAAAATAAAATAAGCTAAGTTCTGCATGCTGGAAAGAATTTTCTTACCCTCTGCTGTTCCTTGAGGGCCTCTGTTAAAAGGAGCTCTAAATATGAAAAGCAGTCAGTTGCCTGCTGGGCCAGTTTATTGAGCAAAGCCACCACCGAACTTTGAATTTTTTCCTCAGTCAACTAGTCACAAGGAATTAATCATCAAACTGTAGATATAAGCTAAAGGTCAAAAGCATGACCTTAGGAGTGTGAGCTCCCTGCAAATGAAAACTTTCGGTTTTTACTCTGGCTCAGTTCTGTGTATCCCACTTTCTCTCTTTTTTCTTTTCTTTTCTTTTTTTGACATGGTGTCTTGCTCTGTCTCCCAGGCTGGAGTGCAGTGGCATAATTTCTGCTCACCTGCCTCCCAGGTTCAAGCAATTTTTCTACCTCAGCTTCCCAAGTAGCACAGGTGCATGACACCACATCCAGATAATTTTTGTATTTTTACTAGAGACGGGGTTTCACCATGTTGGCCAGAGTAGTCTCAAACTCCTGACCTCAGGTGATGATCCACCTGCCTCGGCCTCAAAAAGTGCTGGGATTATAGGAGTGAGCCACTGTGCCTGGCCCTCTTTCTCTTCGTGAAAAGATCTCCTTATCCAGAAGAACCAGATAATTCTTAGTTCGTGATGAGAAACTTTGATTGCATAGCGACCTGATGTCACATGGTCAAGACATTACCAAGGCCCAATAGCTAGCCAGAAACTTTTTTTTTTTTAAGAAAAGATAAAATTCCAGAATTCTGGGGGCCTTCACTGAGATTTTGTAAAGATTTCCACGACTTGCACAAAACATCCAGGTCTGCCACATCCACTCAACACTGTTAGAGCTGTTGGAATGTAAGGGTCAAGTGGCAGAGCTCCTTGCACTGGAGGCTGGCCTGGATGGAGAGAGAGCCTTCTCTTGCTCTGCACCTCACTGAAAACTGTTGCCTTTCATATCATCAGGTTAGTCGGTCAGAGCTGATGAATTAGGAGCTGACTGAACAAAGGTTTAAAACACAAAACAGAGCCGGGCTTGGTGGCTCACGCCTGTAATCCCAGGACTTTGGGAGGCCGAGGCGGGTGGATCACGAGGTCAAGAGATGGAGACCATCCTGGTCAACATGGTGAAACCCCGTCTCTACTAAAAATACAAAAAATTAGCTGGGCATGGTGGCACGTGCCTGTAATCCCAGCTACTGAGGAGGCTGAGGCAGGAGAATTGCCTGAACCCAGGAGGCGGAGGTTGCGATGAGCCGAGATTGTGCCATTGCACTCCAGCCTGGGTAACAAGAGCGAAACTCCGTCTCAAAAAAAAAAAAAAAAAAAACAGAGGGAGAACTAGGTAAAAGACGCATTTTACATGAGTGAGAGAGTAAAAGGTACTCAATCTTTGTACACTATAAAAGAAATCTTCCACGGGACCTTTCGGCTCAGACTGACAGGCATGAACAGCATTATTCTCTCATCTAACTTCAGCCACGACTTGGCGTTTTAACACGGAGTTCCAGGTAGCTTGGGTCTTTCTTGGCGAAATGGCCGAGCCCTGCCTCACTCCTTTTCTGCTGGAGCCTGCGCCCAGAGAGCGGATTCCTAAAGCCGGCCACAGGGGCCCCGCCTACGGAGGCCCCGCCCAGCCCCTCCAGGCCCCGTCCTGCCATTTGCTCCGCCCCCTACTGCTTTGCGCCTGCGCAGAGCTCGGGGAGTCGGCGCCATGACCCCATCAAGGCTTCACGGGTTCCTTTGCAGGGTCTCGGGCACCGCATGGAGAACGGCAAGTAAGCACCTGGCCTCGGGGCCACGGCCGCGGGCGGGGTCTTGAAGGTCCAAGCGCGGAGAGAGGCGCCTCCCGCGGAGGAAGTCGAGTGTGTCCCGAACGTTCGGGGGCGCCAGGGGCTGCCCAGCTTCTCCCACCCAGCAGACCACACCGTGGCCTGGGCAGGTGCCTGCAGCGTCCCGGGTCTCGGGTGGGACTGGAGCGAGAAGATCGCTAAGGCCCTTGCAGCCTGGAGGTCCGCTTCCCGCCGGAAACGCGGTGGCCCAGCGGTACCACAAACATTCCGGGTTGTTCCTTTGGGAGCTCGCAGAGGTGTACCACACTTTGATGTCCCTGAGAAAAATGGAAAAGAAGGCGCTTTGGGAATGGGAGTCATTGATTTACTTATTTATTTACATCCAAAAAAAAAAAATTACTTACATCATTATTAACAGTAATGGGCGCTCCTGGTCCAGCCTCCAACAGAAAAGGATTTGTGGCAGTTTACAGTTTTTAAAATGGGAAAAGTGCAAAAGTGAGTCAAAGGCAAATAAGTATAACGTAAATTAGATGAAGCCAGAATTGTTAGTAAAGAAAAAGCATTCATGCTTTCAATAAAACCAACATTTTAAAACCCACTTTTGTTGGAAATTTTTCTCAAGATACTAGATAGCAGCCCAGATTATGCGAAACAGTTTTAATTTATGACACATGGAGAAGTTATGTAAATTGAAAACAGTTATTGCCCTCATTGTAAATGGCACTGGATTTCCATGCAATTTGTTTTCCCTTGTGCAATCATTTTCCCCAAATACAAACATTTTACTTAATTGTGTAAGTGTTAAATGGTCCAGAAACTAATAATACAGAACGTGAAATTCCCACATTATTCAAACCTCAAGGTAATAACGTTAAAATTTTGTAAGGTTCTTTTAACATCCCCCTTTCACTAGTTTTAAACAATTATGAAGTATTCGATACATATATATACATACATACACACATGTATATGTATATATGTAGCACACAGGTAAGCTATGAAGCACAACCAGCATCTAAGAACTCATTCTCCAATTTGAGAAATAGTCTCCATTGCCAAGGTCTCTATGTGCTGCTGCTTCCTGATATAACTGTGCAACTGTGTTTTTAGTCTTCATAGAAGTGGTGTCATATTGTTGACTTTCCTTTTTTCAGCTAACGCTGTGTTTTGTGATTGATCCACATTGATAGATGAAGTTGTCATTATTCATTAAATTCAATTGTGTGAACATATGATAACATTTTCCACTGCCCTTCTCAAAGGATGTTTGGGTAATTCTAGAAACACCAAGATTGGCTGCTACACATTCTTGTGTACCTTACTTGTGCATTAGTGAGAGTGGAATTCCTGGAGTATGATATAGGTCTTTTGAATTTTACAATATGATGCCAAAGTGTAACCACATTTTCTAAATCTATAGCAATTTTCACTTGTGCCAGCAGTATATTAGAGTTCCTGTTGCTCCACAAACTTGCCAAAACTTAGTTTTGTCTTAAGTTTTAATTTTTGGCAGCCTAGAGGGTGATGAAATGATATCTCATTGTGATTTTGCTTTTCTGTGATTAAAGAAGTTAAAACATTTTTTCCAATAATAACTTACCGTGAAATATCTTTCTTTTTTTTTTTTTGAGACAGAGTTTCTTGATGCCTAGGCTGGAGTGCAATGAGATCTCAGCTTACTAAAACCTCTGCCTCCTGAGTTCAAATGATTCTCCTGCCTCAGCCTCTCGAGTAGCTGAGATTACAGGCGCCTGCCGCCATGCCCAGCTAATTTTTGTATTTTTAATACAGACGAGGTTTCACCATGACCTCAGGTGATCTACCCACCTCAGCCTCACAAAGTGCTGGGGTTACAGGCTTGAGCCACTGTGCATGGCCTTTTTTCTTAACAGATTGTTTCTTATTTACATTCTTTACATGTATTTGTGTACCAAACTTTTTTAGTTATGTAAGTGTCAAATATCTCACTTTGTGGTTTGTTTCTGTCACTACTAGGCAGAATAGAATAATGGGCCTGCATGTGCAATCATGCAGCTTCAATATAAAAGATATCTTTTAATAAACAGATGTTTAAAAAAAAATATTGATAATTTTATCTGTAAAATTTTGTCTTGATCCTTTTGTTTATTGCTACTGCTTGTGGTCTTGTCTAGGAAACCCTTCTCTACCCTGAAGTCATAGACATAGGCCCCTATATTTTCTTTTCAAAGGTTTATAGTTTTGCTTTTCACATTTAAGCCTTTATTCTACCAGGAATTGATTTTTGTTCATGGTGTGAGGCAGGAAACCAGTTTCTTTTTTTTTTTTTTTTATCTCAATCCCTTGTCCCAGGTTCATGCATTTATAGAACCTTTCCCCTACTGATATAATGCCAGCCGTCATAAATCAAGTTTACTTATATATATACGCATATGTTTATTTCTTGGCTTTTTTTTTAATTTCATTGACTTATTTGTCTATTCCTCTGCTGATACTGCCTGTCTTGATAACCATAACCATAACTTTGTAATAAATCTTATCATTTTCTGACTGTTGCTTATGTATAGAAACATGATGCTTAATGATTTTGTATCTAAATTACCTTATTAATTTAAATAATTTACTTGCAGATTTTGGGGAGTTTGCTACTCAGACATTCATGTTATCTACAAATAGTGACAGTCTAGTTTCTCCCTGTCTAATCCTTTTTTTTTTTTTTGAGGAGTCTTGCTCCGTCACCCAGGCTGTAGTGCAGTGGCACAATCTTGGCTCACTATTACCTCCGCCTTCCAGGATCAAGTGATTCTCCTCCCTCAGCCTCTCCAGTACCTGGGATTACAGGTGTGTGCTGCCATGCCTGGCTAATTTTTATATATTTTTTGTAGAGATGGGGTTTTGCGGTGTTAGCCAGGCTGATCTTGAACTCCTGGCCTCAAGTGATCTACCCGCCTCAGTCTCTCAAAGTGGTGGGATTACAGGCTTGAGCCACCACACCCCCTCAGCCTCCCTGTCTAATCCCTATATCTTTTTCTTTCCTTGCTCAGGTGTCCAACACCTTGTTGACTAGGAGTGATGACAGCAAGCATATTTATCTTGTTTGTGATTATAAAGGGAATGCATTTGTATTTTTTCATTAAGGTATGATATTGGAATCATTTAAATAAAACTGCTACATTTTTTTTGAAAGTCACCATCTCCTAATAACTTTTAAGGCATATTTTATAAACGAATCCTCAGGGAAGACTTGTAGCTATCTCCCAAATAACTCTGTTCTTTTAAACAAAAAAAAAATTACCTTCTTTTTGTTGTTGTTGTAACTCTTTATTTTGGATTTACATTTACTGACTGGATTTGATGATCCATAACTGTGGGTCTTCAGTCCAAGCCTTCTACACTCCCTTCCTTTGTGAAATAAAATTTCATGAAATATGAGAAAAAAAGGTGTGATATTAGCTACAGTTATACCCTTTTCTGTTTAAGGAAGTCCCTTTCTACATAGGATTTTGGGATTTTTAAAAATTTTGTTTATGTATTTGATTTTCTTTTGTTTGTTTGTTTGTTTGTTTGTTTGTTTTGAGATGGAGTCTCCTCTGTCACCCAGGCTGGAGTGCAGTGTTGTGATCTCAGCTCACTGCAACTTCAACCTCCTGGGTTCAAGCGATTCTTCTGCCTCAGCCTCCCGAGTAGCTAGGACTATAGGTGCATACCACCACATCCAGATAATTTTTGTATTTTTAGTAGAGACAGGGTTTCACCATATTGGCCAGCCTGGTCTCAAACTCCTGACCACATAATCCGCCCACCTCGGTCTCCCAAAGTCTGGGATTACAGGTGTGAGCGACCGCGCCCGGCCTTTCCTGGTTTTAAAATTAAGGTTATTCTGGCCTCATAAAATACATTGGGGATTTTACTCACCCTTTTCCCTTCTTTGTTAAATTTTTTTTTAAGATTGTAATTATCTATTCCTTGAGGGTTTGTTACAACTCCCCTGCAAAACTATTTAGACCTGTAGACCTGCCCTTCTCTTTGAGGGAAGACTTTAAATTACTTGTTTAATTTCTATATAATTATTATACGTATCAGGTTTCCTCTTCTTAAGTCAGTTTTGGTAAGTTAACTTTTTCTGGGAACGTTTCGTTTTGTATTGTTTCAATATGTAGGCATAAAGTTTGTGGTTTTTTTTTTAATTTCCTGCTCTCCATGTAATTATGTACTCTCTTTTTCTCACATTATTTATTTTGCCTTCTCTCATTTTTTCATGGTAGCCTTACCAAAGGCTTTACAACACTTCCATCCTTTTTTTTTTTTTTTTTTTTTTTTTTTTTCCAGACAGAATCTCACTCTGTCGGCAGGCGCTATGCTGGAGTGCAGTGGCACAATCTCGGCTCAATGCAAACTCCGCCTCCCGGGTTCAATCACTTCTCCTGCCTCAGTCTCCCAAGTAGCTGGGACTACAGGCGTACACCACCACACCCAGCTAATTTTTGTATTTTTAGTAGAGATGGGATTTCACCATGTTGGCCAGGGTGGTCTCATCTCTTCACCTTGTGATCTGCCTGCCTCAGCCTCCCAAAGTGCTGGGATTACAGGCGTGAGCCACCACACCTGACCACGCTTTAAGTCTTTTTTTTTTTTTTTTTTTCTAAGACAGAGTCTTGCTTTGTCACCCAGGCTGGAGGGCAGTGGCATACTGCAACCTTCACCTCCCGGGTTCAAGTGATTCTCCTGCCCCAGCCTCTCGAGTAGCTGGGATTATAGGCACACGCCACCACACCTGACTGATTTTTGTGTTTTTAGTAGAGATGAGGTCTCCCCATGTTGGCCAGGCTGGTCTTGAACCCCTGACCTCAGGTGATCCACCCACCTCAGCCTCCCAAAGTGCTGGGATTATAGGTATGAGCCACTATGCCCAACCAGCTATTTGGCCTTTTTATTGAGTTTTAGATTTGTTATTTCTGAATTTCCATGTTTTTCTTTTCTTTTCTTTTTTTTTTAATTTGGCC